CAGCTTTCAATCGCATCAGGTTGGTAAAAATAATTTCTTAAATGCTTCTTCGCCTAGCCGAGGGGGCTAAAGAAGAGACACTCTTATTTAGTGCAATACCCGAAGAGGATGACTTCGGGGACTGGACATAGGTCAAGCTGACGAAACCACTTAAAATTTTTGGTTTACATTGTTTTATATTCCACATGAACTTCTTGTAGATTTACTTTATTGTAATCTACTTTACTGCAAACATTATTATCATTGTGTTACAAAATCATTACGATTATTTTGGATTTGGTATTTACCTAAAAAAATTTCAGGAAAAAAAAAAGAACAAAAATTATTATTTTCTTTTCTCTACAAAATCAAAAACAAAAATTAGTATTTTTCTTTGCTATTTACTTCTGCATTAAAGTTCTAAATTTTGTTTTTTTTATTTTTATTCAAAAATATTTCAAAAGGTTTTTGAAACACCGATTCCAATTGGCATAGCAACCGACTATTGAACTTTCACAATTTACTATGTTCCTATATATTGAGAGGACATAATCAATCACTTACATACATTTACCCAAATTTCCCAAAAAATCAAAATCCCTCAAACCTGTATTCTAATACATGAACTAGTTTTCCTTATTATAAGTTAACTTAACATTAACTTAGCCTCTTCAATATATGAAGATCTACTAAACAACTTTATGTTGAGTCTAGTAAATAGGTTGTTAAACTTAAGTTAATGTCCCAAGGCTACCAAGAGGGGGGTGAATTGGTAGTTTAAAAATTTTAAGCCCTCTTTTAAAATGAGTTAAACTGAAATAAAAATTTTCTTTTAAGTTTTTGTAGAAAACATTTTTCAACCACAGAGTTTTTAAAATCAAAAATAAAATGCGGAAAAATAAAAACAGTAAAGTAAATGACACCAGATTTATAGTGGTTCGGTCTAAACTAGACCTACATCCACTCCCCAGAGGCACCCTCTGAGTATTGCACTAATACCAATAGTGACTCTCCTTTTGCACCCACAGCAAGGCGGAGAAGCCTTTACAAAACACTCTTTTCACCACTACCCGTATCAGCGTTCT